CAACCGGCGAGAGAAAGCACCAGAGCTGCGAAACCACAAACAACCTTCATGCCATCTGAATCCCGGGGTCCCCACTTTCCAGAGAATTGGGCGAGCACAAACTTAATCTCATATTAACCACACTTGCTGATTAAGTGCAAGTTGTGTTCAGGTCTTCACAAGCTTTTACCTTGTCCAGATCGTTTTGGAATGAAGGGGTTGGATGGCCGTGACTGAACTTGCCAAGTATTTCGTTCCCCCGGTTGACTCCTGTGTGAAGCATAATTTTTACGTGGACGATTTCCTGGGGTTCTGTGATAGTATTTACGGAGCAGTTCGACACATTATCGATTTATCTAAGCTACTGCCTTGGGAGGGTTTAATTCAACCAAGTGGATATCTAATAGCCGTCAAGCAATCGATTACATCCAGGTGAGTGAACGGTAACCGTATCTCCAGGACTTACAGGGAAGTCCGGTAACAACAGATAGAGTACTTGGCGTGCAGTGGAACGCAGAGAAATGAGTTTTTCCCAACTTCAGCTACCGGAAAAGATGGCGACTCGTAGAGGGATCCTGTCCTTGTTGGCCAGCCTTTACGACTCGATGGGATTCGCCGCACCGTGGCTACTGCCGGGAAAAAATCTTCTACAGGATTTCTTTAGAAGAAAGGTAACTTGGGATGCGGTCCTATGCGAGGCGCATCAAAAAACCTGGAAAGGCAAGTGGATGATCCTGTCTAAGCTGCTCGACCTGCGGTGCTCTCATTCCATACAAGGAATACGCCGAGGGGGCAGACAAGTTACACATTTTTTCGAACGCGTCGGAGGTTGGATACGGGGTTGCGGCCTACAGCTGCTCTTCTCGACCAGGTGGGAGGAGGTATGGCAGTTCATGCTTTTCAAACGCCACAGTTTTCCCCTTAAAAGCGATCTCAATACCCATGTCAGAACTAGCTGCAGCAGTCTTAGCCGTGAAGAAGATGCTAAAAATGTGTTACCACTCGATCTAATGGGCCGTAACGCACTGGACCGATTCCGATATAGTTTTTCACTATGTTGTTGCCAACTGACTAGCCGTCATCCACGAAGAAACTGTGAGTTGTCAATAGCGTAAGTGACATCTGGTGACAGCCCAGCGGACTACTGATCCAGGGGCGTGATGAACTTGGAAACAATCGAAACATGGTTGCAGGGTCCATCTATTTTGATGAAACAGACTAGAGAATGGCCCGACACCCGGATTCCCATTTTGCTACGAAACTGCTAGAAACTAAGAGAACCTTTACGTTGATCACTGCCTCATCCAACATTTTACTTCATAGGTTGCATCGTTTTTCACGATGGTTGAAGGTGCTGAGCGTGGCTGTCTGGTGGACTAGGCTCCAACGACAACCGATTATTATGAAAGGACTCCGACAGAATGACACTTTTAATATGTAACCCATCGTTCAATCTGAACCGACCAAAGCAAAGGCCGAGATTATTCTTATGGTTCATTTACAAGCCTTCCCGTCGTAGTGTAGGTCGGTGAGCAAGGAAAATTGCGATTCTGACAAAAATCCATCACGTCGCAGCTCTCTCCAAAAGCTGCGTTCGATATTGATAGATGGATTGTTGAGGGTAGGTGGCAGAATGACTCTTTTTCAATTGGATTTTGATGCCAATCACCCCATCATCTTGCCCAACAATCGTCACATCATTCACACACTCACCATAAACACTCACATGCAAGAGGGTCATGTCGGTCAAAACCACCTATTGAATAAAATCCGCCGTCGCTTCCAGACAGTGAAATTGAAAGCTACCGTGAAACACGTTATTGGTAACTGTCTGTTTTGTCGTCGCCAGAAAGCTACGTTTAGTGAACAATTGATGTCGTCCTTACCAAGTTTCTGAATACGACAATGTTGGTGGCCCTTCCCCGAAACCAGAGTGGATTATTCCGGGCCACTGTGGGTGAGCCCAAAGACATCGAACGAGAAAAGTTATGGTTGCCTGATGACCGGCCTTGAACCACGAGCGTTGCATGTAGATACGATCCACAGCATATCGACTGTTTCCTTGCTTATGGCCTCGCATAGTTTTGTAGGTAGGCGAGGCAACCCATCGAATGTGTTCTCCAACAACGGATTCAACTTTTTCGGTGCACAGACGGAGTTAAACAACTGTCTGACGCAGTTGAAAAAATGAGTTCGAAAAGATCGGCTGTTGCAATTCGGAACCCAGTGGCACTTTAATCTTCCCTATTGCAGTCACCGCGGGGGGATGGGGAAACGGCTCATTCGGTTTGTACGGAGAATATTAACAACATTGTGTGCACAACAGGCTTTCGACATCGGGACTTAGAGTAGACTCTTGGTAGAGGCGGAAAGAATACTCAACAATCAACCGCTCATACTTGTCTCCGGGAATGATCTGCAAGAACTGGCTCTGAAACCCAGTGATCTTCTGCTACACGGGTTTTTCCACCGTATGATAAACTGAATTATTCTATTGTGGTTTTGTGTATTCAAATGAATCTATTCAATCAGAAATGTCTTAAAAACGTAAGAACATGTGCGTATCATGCTCCAGGATTGTGGGCCCCATGGACAAATCGCTCCGTTGTGATGGGTGCGATGACTAGTAACACCTGAAATTCTCCCAAATTGACGCGGACAAACACAAATTGCTAGAGGAATTTCTCTCAATTTCTGAAGATCGTGTGCTGCAGGTGCTCGATCATTACTTCCAAGGAATGCGGATCTTCAATTCTCAAAACTCCCCCGTCCCCATAACGCCGGCTACTGTGACAGTGGTTCATTTGTATGCAAATTTCACTTTCAATCCACCTATAAAAGCAGATACTGCACCGCAGCAGAAGTAGCCAATTAAAGAACATGGCTACCGTCTGCTGCATCGTTCCCACAAACATACTCAGCTCCCTCGTCCACGACATCAGGGAAAGATGCGTGTAACCTGTCACGGACAACGGACGGGTGCCCATGCGATTTGCAGGAACCTATGCGGCAGAAGAAACTCCCTCTGAGATCACAGTGCATCATTGTTGTCAATCATTCAGAGGACAAGCGCAGTAAACTGAAAACTGCATTGGAGGAACTCAGGTAGCGCCGTACAGAAGGGAGAACTGGTCTATGTACACGGGATTTTCGGGTGCATCGGAAGCGCCCTCAGCTTTGTTGGCTATCCTTGGTCGGGGAGGACCCAGGAAACTGGTTAACCACGGACGGGGGGATCAGGTTGAGGCGCGAATGGCAAGGTAACCAAGCTGTTCTAGCCTCAACTAATATCCGAGGGATACTGGGGAAAACGGATGAGTTGGAGGACTAGGTTGTATCACACATTTCCCATCCTTTTTACAATCAATGAGACATCAAATTTTCGTGACTCCGAAATATCACTTCATGGTTGCACAGGATTACAAACGGATCGAACATCGTCACGTCGTGGTGATGGAGTTGTTCTGTTTGTCCGCTCGGATGTCCCTGTTCGAGTGCTGTAGAACTACACCCATCCGGAATGATTCGGAGAAGCCCTATGGCGCATGATCAAGCTTTGTGTCGCAAGGTATACCACATTTTTAGTGATCCACCGCACACCGGCTGTGTACGTACCGGAGATATTGGCCAGCATACAGAGGTACGCCTGCGATGGACATCCTCTTGTCTTGGGTGATTTCAGTGCGCCAAATATTGATTAGGAAACTGACATCTGCTCTCAGCACGCTAGTGTGTTCTCAAAAAAGCTTCTTTTCGCTGTCTGGGCTCTCTGGCTTGTTCAGCATGTTCATGTGCCCGGATAGCTGGGGATCAAAGATCCATCCTTGACCTGGTGTTTTTGCCGAGGCAATCAGATACGACTAGGATTGAATTCCTTTCATCAATTACATCTGGTGATCACTGCGTTCTGCGTATACATTGGAGGCGTGGCGTACCCCAAACGGAGAGATCACAAGATGGACGGAATGTGGCGCTCATTCGTTCCGAAAATGTGTCATGCTGCATTGCTAATAAATTGGGATTCCCAAAACCCTGAGGATGTTGATGAATCCCGGGAGGTGGTCCGCCATGAAATCCGTCAGCTCGTGCTGGAATTCTCTCCACCCCACCGCCACCAAACACACACTGTGGACCCGCCGTGGTTTGATCGAGAACTGCTGGCGNTCTGACAGCGGAATAAAGCCTGGTCTAGTTACCGTGCAATAGGCGCAGGATATGAGGAATATCGAGGAATTCGGAATCGTTGTACTGCACTGAAAACATTCACGGGAATCAGATTTGATGAACAACTCGCAGCGGATTCTGTACAGTCGCCAAAGCGATTGAATGCCTACCCTGGGCGAATAATCAGGGCAACGTCTGGTCTCCAGACTCTCACCAAAGATAGGGCAATAGCCGAAAAAGATGAGGACAAAGCGGAGTTGCTAGCATCACATTATGCTTCAGTGTACATCCCAGACTCCAGCAGATCGGCACATCCACTGGGTGCTGACACTGCCCTGAACTGGACTCCATTTACCATTGTAAAGGTGGCCCTGGAGCTGAGTCGGCTAAAGGTTCACCGGTTACCTGGACCTGATGGTGTGCATCCGCTGATCCCGAAGGGGCTGGCAGATGAAATTGCAGTGCCACTGTGCAATCTGTTCAACTTGTCATTCATACAACGGCGTTTGCTGCGGCAGTCGAAGGATGCTGTAATTATTCCACCACCGAAAGTCGGGGATAGCAGTGACCCTGGAAACTGCCGACCAGTCAGCCTTGCCAATGTTGTAATGGAGCTACTGGTGGTTGCACGGTTTCGGCAGTATTTGGTGTCACGGTCACCTGTGCCACCAAAAACATAGTTTCCCGCCGGATCGCTCATATCTCTCAAACTTGCTACTGGCCCGTGAATTCTGGACCGAGAACGAGGCCAAAGTACACAAAACGGAGGGCATCTTCGTGGACTTCAGCAAGGTCTTTGACAAGGTGCCACACGACCGCCTTCTGCTAAGGTGTTCAACCTGGGTATAGGTGTGGTCATGCAGAATTGGCTGCGAGGCTTCCTCATCGACCGGAAATTCTGTGTCCGTAATGGCAAATCGGAATCTGCGCGGTATTCTTCTCCCAGTGGGGTCTCCCAAGGCTCGGTTCTTGGTTCATTGCTCTTTGTGGTTTATGTGAATGGCCGGCTCGGTCAGCTGTGCAGCCCTTCCTTCATGTATGCGGATGACATCAAAGTCTGGCGTACAATCGAGAGTGTGAATGATCCAAATTCTCTTCAAGCGGATTTGAACAACCTGGGCGGACACCTGGGCTCTTCCGGACAACACCGCAAAGTGTGCTACCCTGCACTTGAGGAGTGCTGACTCAGAGATAGTCCACAACTTCCAGGGAACCACACTGCGCAGAACCTCATGCGAAAGAGACCTGGGAGTTATGGTTTCGTCATCACTAAAGACCCGATCGATGGGGTTTGTGCCAGCGTGTGGAGCATTCTGGGGCCTATTCGGCGGTCTTTCAAGTGGCTCATGATAGACGTTTTCAGACTGCTGTATGCTTCCCATGTCAGCCCAGAACTTGAGTATGGTGGTGCGGCGACATACCCCTGCACGGGTGGTGAACTGGCTAAGTTGGAGCGTTTACAAAATGTTGCCACTAGACTTGTTGTTGGACTACGCGAGACCAGGGATGAAGATCGTCTACAGGTTGGTGGTCTTACATTGGCATCCTGCCCTCTGCCCCCAATACTGAAGACTGAAGACGGAAGACTGAGGATCCAATGTAGGCTTGAAACTGTCAAAAACCATTGGTGGTTGCTGTGCGTAGAGTTGGAAGCCTGCGAGTGTTTGGGAAGCGTTGGACACGCGAGCATTTACCAACCCTACAAGTCCGACATAACTCCTGGAGGAAAGTTACGGAGACCCATCATATTCTACATAGTTTTACATGTTCGTAAACGCCTCAACATTACTCAGCTCCACCTGTGCGATACCATGATGCCGCTTTCCTACCATATATCCTATTAATTTTATTTCCTTGATTGGTTGTCTATTTTTTGGATGATGAATAATTAATTGCATAGAATTACCCATGTCCTCACAACGTTTGTCTACTCACACATACACACAACATTCCGCGCGTTGAACATGACTTTATTTGGAAACACGAACAACAGTCACACCGTCAACAGGTAAGCTCTTTTTCACTCATCATGGACATTTGGCCCACCA